TCGGGGCAAAGTTATGCAAAGCGGCAGTGGGTGAAGCTAACGGTTGCGACATTGTCATATTGACACTCGCATTAGCGATTGCTTCATTTTTAAAGAATTGATTGAAGATACTCTTCGTAGTATAATACTTTTCATCTATTTCGCTTCGAATTTCTTCTTCGCCATCCCATTTGTCCTCAGACATATCCTTATGAAAAACTATTGTCATGTGAATTTTTTCGAAATCTTGATAATAAGAGAGAATAGCCTCATAGCGTGTCTTAAAATATTCTTGCGTTGTCTCATCTGCGATCGCTTTATTAGCAATATCGTAGACTTCAGAAATTCGTTTGATAAGAATTTTGCGTTGGGCAGTGAGAATTGTTAAATCTTCTGACATATTGCCAAAAAAAAAATTGAAATCAAATTTAAATTAAATTAAATCGAATAGTACCTACTATCTAGCAAAATCCGTTCTTTTCCTGAATTTGCATTTGGGCAAGGCAAAAAAAAAGAAAGAATTTCAAGCTTGGAATGTTTATGTTCAAATAAACAAGTTTTTTCTTTTTTTTTTGCTCTGCTCTTGAGGTTCAATTTACAACTTCTATGGATTTTCTGATAAAAATGTTTTCGTTCTACTGGCCAAATTACAATAATTAATGCCTTTTATGTTTTATTTTGTCTAAAACACAAACCGAGAATAATTAAAACACTTGCAGTTTCTTGCTAAGAATGATGTATAACGCGAATGAATTTCAACAAAATGAAAAAAATCAAATAAAATACTTTCAATTAATCGATTAATTGCAATAATTAACCAGTTAATCAATTTAAGCACCAGAACAAAATAAGAAATTTGGCTCGTTAAGGATCAAAATGTTTTGCGGGTAGCTAATACGTAATGTCTTAGCTGGTAGTGGACTGTATTTACTTTGCGGCGCAACCTCTAAATAATGATAAAAGGGACTTACCCAATGATTCCATAAGTGCACTCCTGCAGGGACCCTGCTTTACACACGCGCTGCGGATTATGGTGTTCCCAATTACGGGTTATGTAACTTTGTAGAAGGTTGATACGAGAGGACTTCACAATGAAGTTTTGAGATTAGAAATATTGCGACCGGGTTAAGCCGTACGACGACGCGCCCGTGTCGTCTCATCGAGTTTCTTAGCAATTCTGTCCAATTACTCGCTTCTGGTACGTCCACTATCAAAATCTAGAGGTACGACTTTTTTTGCGCGAAACAAAACAAAAAAATGCGAGCAAACAGGAATTTTGCACCTTTGCCAAATTGTATAAAATTTATTTAGAATAAAGACGAAACAAAAGTGAATTAGGTAATTTGCCACAACTTTTCTTGGATCAAAATAATATTTCAGTAAGTGAACTATCGTTTCATAAAAGATTTGTAGCGAAATTCGTGGGACGTTTAATGACACAATCACCAACTTGGGTCGCTCTCAAAACTATATAAAATGGTCAAAACTAATGATTGATTCAGGGCCGATACTTTTGCTCTCGATTAACGAATTTGATACGTCGTCAAAGTTTTGCATGGGCCAAGTTCTATAAGTATGATGTGGTTACAGCACATTCAAAGCCCTGATTATTTTTAACGACTGTCAAATGAGAGCAAAAGTACCGGCACTCAGAGAAACTATTGTAATTATTATCAGAAACCTGTAAATTAAATACTAACCTAGAACATGTTGTAAATATATGTGATTTTCATCGTTTGCAAATGGTGATCCATCAATTTCGATCAGTTTGAAATTCTCGGGATTAATTTCCATTTCCTCATCCATATTAACAACTTCAACCAACTTCAATAAATAATACTCAACAGTTTAAAAATATCAAAAATCTCCTTTTTCGAGGTTATCAAAATAAACGAAAACTGCGAACCCGAAAACCGAAAACAAACAAACGTCCACTCCTGAAACGTACTGCGCATGTCGGGTCATTTTTACCCATGTCGGTGAAGCCGAAGTCATTTATGAACGCATTTGGGCGTTGGGCGATCGGGGAGCGCCGGGCGTTCATTTATGAACGCACCCCAGAAGATGGTCAAAAGGGCACTTTCCAAATTTCACCGATAAATTGACCGGTTAAATAAACCGGTAGCTGTCAAGAAATTCCGATAAAAGTTAGGTGTAATGTCCGGTTAAAAGATTTTTCTGATGCATTTTCGAACGCTTTGGTGTGTTAAAGTTTGGTTGTGACGGTTGTGTTGCGACAATTTAACGAACGATTGCCAATAGTTGTAGTCCTTTCAAGAGTTTGAAGCACTCGAGCTACTCGCTCCTGTGTTTAGAAGCCCCCGATTTGCAGGGAACAGATGCGTGGTGCAACAAACACTTTTCGAAAGGAATAAGCGCGTGAAGCCCCGGAGATGTTCCGGAGCTCCTCCTAGGTGTGAAAGGAATACAACTAAAAGTGCCCATTCAAAGCAATTGATGTACGTCAAAAAATATTCAACTGAAAAAACCGACAAAAATTCCCGGGGGATCCGGTGTCTCACCGGTTTCAAACAGCTGATCATCCCGGTCAATTTTGGAACGGTCGATCTGGGGTTCAACCGGTAAAAAATCGGTACATTTTGGAACGGTTTGGTGAGTAAACTATTAAACCGGTATCACACCGGTTTAGAAACCGATGAATTTTGAAAAGTGCCTCAAATCGGCGATTTTTTTTCGCCAATTTAGCACGAGCACGCGCTGCTGTAGTGACGTCACCTGGCCCACTTGAAACACGTTTTATGCGTTATTGGTGTAGGCAATTAATATGGTTTAGCCAATAATAATGGTATTTTGGCTTTTGATGCAATAAATTTCGACAAAACTTAATTAAACTTCTCGAATTTTTATTACAGAACAAGGTCGAGCAATGTAACTAATACCAATTCTTTGGATTGAGTGGGCCGGAGTACGTCACTTGCCTGTCCATTGACATTTGCGGTCGGCTAAAATCAAGGTTCCTAAAGTTAATAGGTTGTCTGGTAATGAGTTACTTGATGACGCATCTGGGGGTGCCTTATAGAGATTTGCATTATGTTGAGGCACCACAGATGACGTCATAAAGTTATCAGGCAACCTACCTCTCTCAAACAATCTTGGGCTAAAATTGGCAAACGCGGGCGCTTAGGAGAAGCGACTATCCTCTTGTGGTTTATCCAATGATATTGGGTTTATCCATCGAGGTTTATCGTTCTTGACCGAAACCACCGGGATTTTTGTCCGTTTTTTCGATCGGGGTGTTTTTCACATTCTTGTTTTGATTTTGATGTACATTAATTGCTTTGAATGGGGCAATGGGCACTATCAGAAGTCGTTCGTAACATTTTTGCTCGCAGATTATTGAAAGAAAAAATGTTCGTTTGTGCGTGTGTAAGAACAATTTTATCTTTTTTCATTATGAACTCTACACACCAAACACTCAACCCAACTTCAAATAATCTACAAAAATCGTACTGAAAGCTACCGTTTGTTTACTGGTAAAGTTAAAAATGCATACCAACCTGTACTGTCCGTGTACCCACACTGTATATTCCAAACAACAAATAGCACAACACCAATAGCTCTTTTCACGTGGCTCCCGTTTAACAAACCGCAACATACCGCTCAAATTCGAGTGGTATCGAAGATGTCACTTTGTAACCGGGTTAGAAAACGGTATGTCATTTCTCTAACCACCTCGGCGATATGGTTACGTCGAGCGGTTAGAAGAAAAAAATATAAACAACGGATAGCGGGAAAGTTTGGAAAAGTGTAAAAACTAAATAAAAAGTTGTGTTTTGTATATATTATTATATTTTATGAATTTGAAGCCCGAAAGCCGATTTCCCTTGTATACAGCCTGATTTACGTAGCCCGTGCATTAGAAATTGTTCAGTTTGCAGGTGGATTAGCATAAATACCACCTAATCTACCTGCTAATGCATGGACTATGTTAATCACCCTGTATTATACTCAAAAGATGTACCAGAGACTCGAATCCCAGTTTACCTACTTGATGGGCTGTTGTAGACTGTAGGTAACAAGAACTTGTAAACTTTAGATAAACTGGTTCTAGTTGGTGTGAATGAGATATTGGATAATTCTCCAATTTTGAAAAAAAAACTTGTTTGCCATATTACTTCACATATTAATAATTAATTGTGAATTGCTCACATTTAATATATTTTTGTCCATAGTAGACATAGGTAGGTAACGGCACTGGCGAAAATATTGAAAAATCAAAAATTAAAAACACAAAACAAGTCAAACACCTATACCTAATCTCAAATCGAATTTAAAGTAACATTTTTCAAACCGTTCATTTTCAAGTGGCATTTTCAGTGATGTCATCACTTGACATACCGCCCCTAACCGTTTTTTAACCCGGTTAGTTTAACCGTGCGTTCGTTATTTTGGTCTGAGTTCTCCGAGCTTGACTTTACCGTTCGTTTATTTGAAAAGTGTACTCGGTGCAGCCTCATTCGCGTTCGTTTATTAAAATTTCTGGCACTTTTATACAGCGTTCAACTACTCTGTTCGCTCGCTGGTCACGTGATTACGGCTCCGCTCAGCACGCTCTGCTCTTTGAGCAAAATACCGAACGCAAGGTAAACTGGAGCGACGTGAAAAGGTGTAATGCGTTCCAAAAACAGAAAAATCTTTCTGCCTAAGTTCCGAAATCAACTGTCAGTACTGAATCTGGACGCCGTTCCGATATTATTTTCAGTACACTGGATTCAGTCGATTCAGTGATGATTTGACCACAAAAGTACGCTGTTGAAATCGGAGCTGCAAATGACAGTAAAATCAGCACAATAAATCCAGTACTGGCAGTTGATATCGGAACATAGCCTATAACTGCACTTTTACCGGAATTTTTTGACAGCTACCGGTTTATTTAACCAGTCAATTTATCGGTGAGTTTTGGAAAGTGCCCGTTCTTTTCATTCGACTACAAACGACGCTCCTGTCTTAATGACAATGTCACAAATGTCAATTATGTAACTGTATTCTCCATCACCCTTGCACTAACCTAATTCCCATTCACTCGTCTCGCTTTTGAAAAATTTGCACTGCACTTGCGATCTTTGGAGAAAGGGGGGCCAAAGGCCGCAATTTTTTAATTATTTCCACCAAATTTCACCTACAAAAAATGCTTTCCAGGGCTGCTTTATTGTCCGGTAAGTACCCATTATTGCACGAGAACCTATTTACCTTGATTGAGCAAGAAAAGCTTGGTATTTTGTGTTGTAAAAAAAATCGTTTATGTAACACAAGTCTGTGACATCATTCAACTAAAGTTTCGTATGATTTTTAGGACAAAACTCGAGGGCCCTTGTTGCTTTTAGCAGGGCTACTGGTACCACCCCAGCTTCTAATGCTGCTGCCGCGGCTACTGACAGTCCTTCTTCATTATATCAAAGGCCTGTAAGTATCCAAAAACTGATTTTCAAACTTTTCAATACACCAATACTGGTAGCATTGGGGCTACTAATAACAATAACTATATCAATTTATTCTTATACAGGCTCTAATGCAAATCTAGTCTGAAAAATCATCATCAAAGTACAGTAGAATCTCGATTATCCGAGCTAACATGGGCAGTCAGCAGTAGTAGTACCTGAGCTTGGATGATAGTTATCATACTCTATCTTGTCATCTAGACATATCTTGACTAGTTTCTGAAGTTGTCTTCTCTTTACAGCTAAGTTACAGTGGTTTCAAATTAAATGACGTAAAACTGTTATAAGTGATATTGAGCAAACTTGCCCCTGATGATGAAGCTCTATAGCTTCCAAACATGTAGGGCTCTTTAATTTTCATTTAAAAAAATTGTGTGGAGGAAGACTTTGTGTTTCTTTTGATTTCAAAAGTATTTGTTCCTGGGAGTGGATTCTTTTAGAAGAAGACTTCTAACTCTTTAGTCACTCAACTTCCAGAGTCAAATAGAAGCCATAAATTCAAAAAATCCACATTCAAATTCTTAACTGAGGAATAAATTGTTCAAAGTACAGTATAAAACATAATATCATACTTAGGTATAATATTATAATATGCTTAAGTATAATATAAAACTTATTGTACCTTTCCAACCCTCCTATTCCCTATTCAATGGGTGGTGTGAATGAAAACGAAGTACTTGCTACTACTATAAGTATTAGTATTTTCTATGTAGTATTTACTCCCCGATTTACTCCAAAACGAAGTAGATACTACATTTCGAAACTATCGGAAATAGGTAAATGCTTCTTTGTGAAGTAAATACTCCGAAGAATATACTAATACTTGTAGTAGTAGGTACTTCGTTTTTATTCATACCACCCAATGTCTAATATCATGTCCTCGATCATGTCTTTAGCATGTTTAGTTATGTGCTGAGTTGAGACAAAAATGACAGATGACATCAAGGATGCGATTTGTAATTCCTAAGTTTGTACCTAACCTCAGAGTAATCTATATACCGGGTGCCCACGAGATTACTTTCCGGCTGCCATTTTTTTTATTTGTTTATCGATATCAATGAAACTTGGTAGGCTTGATATTCTAACGAAACGCCATTTTTATGCATCCACGAGAAGTTTTCTTGACTTTCGGTTTCACCGGAAATGACCGAAATATTTGATTTTCAAATGGCACACCCTGTATATTTTTTGTTTTTTGGCTTCTACAGATTGTGTTACATCCTAATGTACCACTTTTAAATCGAGTTTTGTCCGAATTTCGTTTTCGAATCGAATTTTAAGTATAGAAAAAAAAAATTACCTACATAAAACAAAAATATTTGAACGAAAATCAAAAGAAATGTCGTAGTGTATTATATCGTTGGATTCCCTTAAAAATACTGCATTTGGTAGTGTTATGAAAGTGATATGTTTCTATTCTAGTTTTCGAGCTAGGGCAAAAATACTAAAATAATGAAGTTTACAGCCCTCTATTAAAAAAATTTACAAAGATATATTTGAGTTTGTATTTTTCTGAAATCAAGTAAAGTATGTAGAGTTATTTTAGGACGATCATGGCACTCTAGTTAAAAAATTAAAATTTAATTTAAAAACAAAATTTGGACAAAACTCGATTCAAAAGTTGTCCATTAGGACGTAAAACGATCTGTAGAATCCGGAAAACAAAAAATATACAGGGTGTGCCATTTAACAATCAAAAGTTCCGGTCATTTCCGGTGAAACCAGAAGTCAGGAAAACTTGTCATATATGCATAAAAATGGCGTTTGGTGAGATTATCAACCCTACCAAATCTCGTTGATATCGATAGACAAATAAAAAAATGGCAGCCGGAAAGTGATCTCGTGGGCACCCGGTATATAAAAATTAATGTCACTTTTCGTTGTAATTTTATAACTCAAGAACGGGCTCACCTAGCCAAACCAAATGTTTAGGCTTTGTTCGGACTATTTATTAGATGGTTTAAAGTGCGACAAGTGAGTCAACCTTGGTAACGTATGAAGTAGCAGAAGGGAAGACGAAAACCTATACTATACGACGCGACGGGTCCCCGACGTGGTGCATTGCGAAAATTGCGTTTACCCTGACGCGACGACCCGCGTATATGTATATTTTTATCTCGGGCCAATCAGGAGGGTTATGCCCGCATTCCTTCCACACAGGTTCACTCACTTGTCGCACATTATGTGAAGTTTGCACAAAATCGGTCGAGCGGTTCTTCATTTATCACATTTTTTGTAATAATTGAATTATTCAATAAATGGAGGATCATTTTGTTAATGGGGATTTTGCTGCCAAACTGTTGTGCTGGTTCTAGCACTTATAACTCGAGAACGGCTGGACTGATTTTTATGATTTTTGCTTTATTGGACTTGTCTTTGTCCCAAATAACATAATAGATCGGAAAAAAAAAACTACCTCTTTTACTTATTTATGAAAAAAATTCACTAAGCCTGCATACGGCACCATCTCTTATAACCGATACCAATTCATTTTAATAGCAAACTATTTTGTATACGGCGCCATCTCTGATACCTAGAACGAAGCTCGCTGTTGCGCGGTAATTTCATTGCAGATACAGTAGAACAATGCTGCTCGGGAACTGGAGCTATTCCGAACAAAACTATTCCACTATTCCGATCAGGTAGAGTGGTTCAGAAAGAGTAGATCAGATAGAATAGTGCAGATAAGAGTAGAACAGATGGAGTAGTGCAGTGCAGATAGAGTGAAACAGGGCTGCGCTAGAGATTTTTTTTTGTTTTTTTTACATACTTTGAACATTTCTGTGCCTGAGTTTATTTATTTGGTGGTACAATTTACAAGAATAATGTCCACAAGCTGCCTAAAAAGGGATGATGTAAAATTTTAATTTTAGGTGACTTCTGATCCAGAAAGTAAACATTAATTTTCTTCAACCAAAGCCAAATTCACCATCGAAAAAAACTGAATTTAATTCAGCTAATAGATACATTAACACAACATTTAATAGGTATTTTTGATAATTCAGAGCCGGTACGAAGTTCGCCGGGTTAGCTAGTACTACATAAATAGAGAGGGCAAGTCATTTATAAAATCGTTTGGTTTCTGCGGCCAACAATCCTAAACGACAATAGGGGATTAATGAATGAACTACATGGAGTGGGGATAAGATTGCGGACAATGCGGGCCAATCACAAACAAAACCCGTTTGACATTTCTTACTATGAATACTACAGCGCATTCGCGATAATGGTCGGGCTTGCTCCGGCAATATTTGCATCCTTCTTTATTTGGTTATGTTAACAAAGATAAAACGATTCAGGCGGGCGTTCCTAGACGAATACAACCAAGCTCCCAGATTTTAGGCAATGTTGCCATTTTCAGGTAGCACAAAATCTTATTCAAATTGTATTGTGATAATAGATTATTATTTTATGTAATAATTATTCCCATTCAATTTTGGAAAGCACCGCGATATTTTATGTTATAATTGTATATACATATACCTATCTAGATTTTTATATTTGCGATAGATTTTTTCCAATTCCATTTTCTCTGCAACTTAGGACAATTTATAAATATGGCACATCCGCAGTAAGTGTCCGCAAGTGATCTTAGAATGGGAGTCAATGTTTGGGGCATCTTTCAATCATAATAAACCTATCTATTTCAAGTGTTAATCTGAGTACCTAACCATGCTAACCATTCTATATTGAAACGTGCCATTCATTTATTCTAGGTCAGATTAATTGAACCAGGCAAAGTCCGTCACGGATTCATTCCAGAAGAATGGTTCCAAGCTTTCTATGCTAAAACTGGTGTAACTGGTCCATACACTTTTGCCGTCACCCTCACCACTTATTTGGTCAGCAAGGAAATCTACGTTCTGGAACATGAATATTATTCTGGACTTTCCTTGTTCCTCATGTGGTACGTTGGTATCAAGAAATTGGGACCAAAACTGGCAGCATATTTGGACAAAGAGATCGATGTAAGTGATCTTTATTTTTAACTAAATTGAAAATTATTGGGATTTTCTTTTTTTTTTAGCAATATGAAAAAGATTGGAATTCTGGCCGTGTATCCCAGAAAGAAGGTTTGGAAGCTCAAATTGCCGACGAAGAAAAGGCCCAATGGTCTATTGAAGGTCAAAACATTTTGATTCAGGCTAAACGGGAAAATGTGGCTTTGCAATTGGAAGCCAACTACCGTGAACGTCTCATGAACGCTTACCAAGCTGTCAAGAGCCGTTTGGATTACCAAGTTGAAAAAACTAATGCCGAACGCAGAATTACCCAGAAAAATTTGGTGGAATATGTGGTGGCCAGAGTAAAAGCCTCCATTACTCCAGATCAAGAAAAGCAGAACATCAACCAATGTATTTCGGATTTGGCTTTATTGGCCAAGGCTTAAGTAATTTACATTCTGTTTTACATAACTTTATGTTATAATTTTTAACTTTATTTGATTAATTGTATGTGGCATATAGAATTTTTTATCATTTAAAATATTGAGAGTCAACACTGTGCAGTCATATTGTTATAGAATCCAAAAATTTTAAAAATAAGGATTAACTTCTACAATTACTCTTACTCATTATACCTCTGTGAGAAAATATATTATTGAAAAAAATGTCTCATAATTTCAATTTGTATTGTCTTGTTGTTCAATTGAACTATAAAACCTGATTCACCTTAAGTAACTAAATATATCCAACCAAATATTTCACAATTCATAATATGGATAGAGAACTTAATTAAAACTTTGATAAAATGATTATAATGTATTTACAATTATACTAAACTAATTAACCATCAACAATTAGATGTGTTAGAATTGGTATAGCTGCAAAACATAAGAGGCCTATTAAAGTTGCACTAGTTACTAAAGAAGGAGTACTTCAGCTAGTATGGCAAAAGAGCAAACTCAACAACAGCTCAGGGTAGAGTCCGCGTCAGCAGTAAAGACTACGGTGACGACAGGGAAAGCTGCGCGAAGCGGGTCCGATCTCTCTCCCTCGTCTATCTTTCGCTGTCTGCCGTGACCTCGGCCCTGAGCTGAAACCAGCAGCGGGGTATCTTTTTAGACAAAACTTGGAAAGAAAATAAACTAAATAAATATGCCTGCTGGCCGTACGACAATGAACCACGTGCTTGGCGTTCGGCAGCAGCACCGAACAATACGATAGTTCGGTTAGTCTTCAAAATTGGGTTTCTGCGCAATTGACGTCACCGTCCTTTTTACTCTTGACGCGGACTCTACATCAAGTGCGACTTGCATCAAAAACAAAGAATATATAAAAGAAATTATTCAGGAACTTGATGAACGCATGAAAAAGGGTGAAATTAATGTTCGCATTAAATACTTAATCTACGTCGGTGTCATTATGACACATTTAGCATTGTCATTTGAATGTCATTAGGTCCTTCATAATAGCACTAGTGCGTTTAAGAATTCATAATAACACCCAAATTTTGAAATGAAAAATATACAAAAAGAAAGTTAGTTGCCAGAAGAACCTTTTCAATAATGCTGTCTCTATATTCGAAGAGACACTTTCGAACTCAGAATCACCAATAATAATATTATTTTCCACTATAAAATTGAATTTATGGCACAAAAATGGACTCCAATATTGAAGCTGCCAAAGTCAAAATTCTAAAAACCAACAAGCAGGTTCTCGACTAGTACGGGCACCTGCTAAATTTCAAATTTTAATTTGAAAAGTTTTTGCTATTTCAAGGCAAATCAAATCTATTTGGACCATTGTAGATTAAATTTTGAATGATACACGTTCGATATGAACTTTATTAATGAAACTTGTGTAACTAAACCACTCGGCTAACGCCTCGTGGTTTAACGTTACACGCGTTTCATTATGGCGTTCATATCGAACTTGTATGATTAATAACTATCAATGGCTCACCTAAAATCATAAACGCACAAACTCATTCAAAAAACTAAAATCTGTCAACTCTGTGTAAATCTATTTCTTGTATACCAATTTGAACTCCATGATGACAAAGATAGATGAGTGGAAGGCAAATATCAAAATTTTCTCACCAACTGTTATTCTGTTAACAAAAACATGGCTACATGAGATGATTATCCTTTGGATGCGATTTCGTCCGAATTGCAACCGTCAGATATAGGACGAACAATTTCGTCAGATTTCGGATACGTGATATCGTCCACTACGTCCACTGGACAAGCTTTTGCAGACTTCGCACAGTCCTTACGTAGTGGAGTAATATGGAGGATTATGTTTTGGAAAATATAATTATATTGTTAAACGGCGTTTGTTCAACAGAAGAAAGTGCTGGGTTAGGTAATGATATTTTTATTCAATTTTTATTTTTATTTTGCAATAAACTGATTGTTCAATCCAATTTGTTATTAGTGTGTGTGTCAAGGAGCGATCACCAGGTCAGTTAGATAATTATTATTTTGTTTGTTTATACAAAAGTATCATTTTTTTCATTTTTATGTATTTTTTTTTTGTTTCTAATTTTTTTTACGCTGTGTCTAGCCTCCCGGCACCGGTACCTATTCATACGAATCCCGGTTATGGCGCGTTTTAAATGACGTCATCAACAACCACCGGTAACTCTCGTGAATCCCGGCTATTGCTATAAAAGATAATAATTATTATGTTCATTGGTATTGGGGCAGATTTATTATGAAGAGTAAAAAAAGTAAACAAAGTCGAGCGCGATAAGCTTTTATTAATGGAAAATAAAATTATGACTTTTTATTATATGTATCTAGGTACAGGGTCATTTTGAAAGTTTATTCAGCATTTGATCTTGTACAGCAACGCCGTTAATGTTCAGCAACATTACCCAGGGTGCCCCAAAATTAGAGGTTAATATTTTAACTGCGGATTCTACATCTCAAATTAAGAGCAAAGATTCCTGTAAACATGGGTCCAAGAGTACCCTATTCCAGAGATACAGGCTGGTAAAAAAGCTATAGTCCTGAATAATGAATGAAAATAAACCATACTATTCCCTTTTTAAACCACTACTACGAAAAGTGGATTAACGAAGTACTTGCTACTCTTATACCAATATCACAACTTGAAACAATAATTATTAAATTCTTTATTGAGCATAAAAATTGCTATTTTACAATAGTACAAAATACAGAGTGGGCCAATGAAAACTTTCCACCCTGATTTTTTTGATTTTAAATGAAAATTTGGAAAAACGCTCAAACACGTCGATTTTTGATTTGAGGGGGAACTATTTTCCAGTTTTTTTCATCCCTGTAGCTTCAACCCCCTAGCTGGGGGGAGAACAACCCCCTTAATTCGAATAGGGGGTAGGGGTCGTGTCATACATCTTTTTGAAGCTCTCATCGAGTTCTTTATGACCCTAGAATTTCGTCTTATTATTTTTATCCGTAACGAAATGACAGCTTGTCAAAATCTTGGAAATAGACTATTGTTTTAGGAGTAAAAGCGATACTTCTTACCTCCCTTGATAAAAATACCTACAATTAAAGTTGTTTTATTATTATTATCAATTATGTGTACTCGTGAAACGTACATTCTAAGTATTTTTATTAAGGAAGATAAGTATCGCTTCTACCACAGTTTATACCGTACCGATACAGTTGTTCAACTCCGTTGACAAACCATTGATTTTTTTGAAGCCAAATTCTATGTCCCTATATTTCGCGCTTGCGCATTATTGATCGGAAACAACGAATCCTAGGCCGTGGACAGAGTCGGACTAGGATTTTTTGTGGATTAACATTGAGAATATAATGCGATAATATAATAATAAACAAAGATTATGTGAATGTATAGAGTAAACCTAATATGAAATATGTAAATATAAATACTTACAGTCGTTCATCGTTCGGAAAACTAAAATATCCTAAGCCTGGGCTAGTTCTAGTGTTGTTTTTACAGACAAAACAGGAAGCAACCATGATAATACACAATATATAAACTATAAACGATAAAACAGTCAAGTACACAAAAAACGCGAATAACACGGAAAGCAAAACACTCTTAACAAAGCCGAATTTCAAATTGATAAATTTCCGGTTACTTTTCAATTTCCTGAATAATTTCAGTCAAAAAACTTCTCTTCTTTTTTTTGTAATACAATCCTGTTGCGTGTCTCGTTTGACAGTTATTTCTCGTCGGTTCTCACCCAAGCTATCTCTATCTCTTTTTTGCGTGCAGGATTGGAAAGAGACATGTATATGCCGAACTGCTTTTTCAATTTGAGAGATTTGTTCACTCATTGAGCGCATGCGCAAGATATGGGTCAAAATGCTCCTATTGGTTGGAAATTTGGCCTCAAAAAATACGGAGAGTTGTACAACTGTATCGGTACGGTATAAACTGTGCTTCTACTCCTACTAAAACAATAGTCTATTTCCCAGATTTTGACAAGCTGTCATTTCGTTACGGATGAAAATAATAACCCCAAATTCTTTAAAAAGAGGTATGACACGACCCATATCCCCTATTCAAATTTGGGCGGTTGTTCTTCCCCCAGCTAGGGGGTTGAAACTATGGGGATGAAAAGAACTGAAAAATAGTTCCCCCTCAAATCAAAAATCGACGTGTCCGAGCGTTTTCCCAGATTTTGATTTCAAATCCAAAAAATCGGGGTGGAAAGTTTCCTTTGGCCCACCCTGTATATATAATACACAAAAGCTATTCCGGAATTAATCACAGCTTCAAGCAGCAAGAGAAACACGACTTTGAATTTTGAATCCAATAGCCGGGATCCACGATAAATCCCGGCGGTCGTTGATGGAGTCATCGAAAACGCGTCATAACCGGGATTCGTATGAATACCGGTGCCGGGAGGCTAGACACAGCGTTTTTTTTTATAACATGTGCATTTTTCACGTATTTAACAAAAATCGTTTCATGCTGTAAACAACACCGATAAAGAAGTAAATTAAAACCTAAGAAATTATTGTCTTTTTGTGCTGGGATTTCGATTTTGTGTATTCAGAGCGTTAATTAGGGCATTGTTGAATTTACTAACATTTTCCTACCCTGGCGAGAGAATATCCTAACAAATTGAAATAATCAATCTAAAGATATTAGCTCAAAAACAACTATAGTTGAGTAGCTTTCCGTATGGGACCTCAGTACCTGCTGGGAAACTGGCTAACTAACAAAAAAACTCTTCAGTATTGAATATAGGTAGTGTTTATTTATTTATTTATTTATTATACGGAATAACCCCATTAACAGCAAAATTACAACAAAAAGGAATAATTTGGTTAGGTACCTACACATTATAAAACCTGCAGCAAGTTAGCGTTACCACTAAAAGAAAAACAAGAAACAACAAAAATTTAAACTTAAGGAAAAACAATCTAAGCTACTAGAAAAAAATATATAAACAATATTAGTCCCCAGTACATCGACCCTAAAATTTTGTAACTCATGTACACGCCAAACTTCCTGAGCGGCTTTATAACACCAAGTCGGACAATATTTTTCATATCTCCACCCTGGGCGATGGGACATTGCGGCGCTAGCTCTTCGTGAAGTTGTCGTTCTGACGTCCCTAGGGAAGTTGATACATGTACGTGTAGTTTCAATGCCAATCGACTGTTTTTTATATTACATTAACGATATCACATTTGTCGGACAAAAACCATGTGGCTTTGGGGAAGGTCCGACGCCCACAACATGTCGCTGTGGCGTC